ATAATAGATTACAACTGGTAATCAAGAGGTGCATTGCCCAGAGGAAGCTATTATAAATGTAGGTCCTGAAACACTTTAACAACTTAGCTTATGTGGATCTCTGGGTTAAGCACTTCTTTTTCAAGATCATCATTTAATGTGCATGTTCCCAAGAGGTATTGAGGAGTCAGTGAGCACAGGGCTAGGCAAGCAGCCTTTGAAGTGAATACCATCACTATCATGAAGAGAACAGGCTCTCACTGCCCGCTGAGAGAAGGGGTATTCCACAGAGGCATTCCTCCAGGGGACTCCTAGGGTAGGCTGGGCATTTCACTTCTGTGCAACTTTAAACCAAGCACATCAGCGATGGATGCCTCACCCATCCCTATGCATTCTGTGCCTCTTCAGGAGATTTCCCTCTCAGGAAGGAAACCACAGCCACTCTAAAGCCCACACCACAACCATAGGTATCAGCCAAACAAATCCCTTCCTCTTCCTTCAGCCAGTCACCAAGTCTCTCATGTTTTGCTCCTTAACACCACGAGACCAAAGGATTCCTTCTGAGACTCAAATTGGATTCTGTTACTTTCCTGCTTAAATCCTTCAGTGTCTCCCCGTTCCCACGAAAATAAAATCCTCCTTCTTCCCTGTGCTGGAGCTCTCACTTTGTTTTACTGTTCGCTCCCAGTGTTCACCACACAGAATAACTTGTGGTTTCCCGACTTGCCTCCTGCTCAGGGCAGATGCACGCATACTTCTCTGCCTGGAATGTTCTCTGTGCCCCAAGCGTTCCTCACATATCAGCTTAGGGGATGTCCCTGTGCTGGGCTCCCACATGCTGTGCCTCCTTTCATGGATGTACCCCGAGCAACCATCTGGAAAGGTTGTCTCCACCAGGCAGTGGGGGCGCGCCGGCACCCCTGCACAAGGCCTGAAGGAGCTGAGAGAGGAGTGACACTCAGCTCTCACAGGGGCTTGCTCAATCTGTTGTCTTGTGGGCAGAAGGCCGCCAGATCAGGCATGAGGTTGTGAGCATGTAGGAATAAGTACAGAAGACCTCCTGGCAGTTCAGATAGCCCAGGCCTGAGGGCTGATGGTTATATATGTGACAAAGCGAAGGCATAAGTAAGGACCAAAGTGTATAATAGATGTTGTGAAATAGGAAGAAGTGGTTCCCAGAAAGGGGGGATGGGTGTGGGGTGGGGTGTGGAGTGAAAAAAAAGATAAAATGGAAACAAATTTTGTAAATAGGAGGAAAAGAGGGGTTGAAGGGAGAGGAGGGGATTGGGGGGAACAAAGCACAATCAACATACGTCATATAGAAGTACTAATTCCCTATGATGAATACGACCATTATGTGTATGTAAATTGTCCCAGTTAGTAAAACTTAATAAAACATAATAAAAAACAAAAGCAAAATATATGTGACACTGAAGACCAGGAGAAGGAACACATTTAAGGCTATTGAGACTGCTATCTGGGGCACTGCAGTGCTTGCAGCTGGGCACAACAAGGCCAGAAGGCAGATGTGAATCTGAAAGAGATCCACATAATGTTTCCTGAGGGTCTGCCATGGAAGAGTACTGTACTAGGTACCTTTACATCACTTTGAACTACAAAGAATGCATAATCTGTCATCCAAACCAGGATAATTTTAACAATGAAAAGGGACTCCATTAAAAATTATCCCTGGATAACAAGTATGAACTAAGACTTATGACCACTCTACTCTTCGGGGGAGTGGGGGTACTAGGAATTGAACTCAAACCTTGCCCTGGCCAGGCAGGCACTTGTGCCACTGAGCCATACCCCAGCCTACTTGGTGTTTTTTTTAAATAACCCATGAAATGTTTTGTAAATTCATATTACCAATGTATTTACTCATATATTGCAAGGGGCACTGTTTGTTTTTTCCACTAGTTGAGACAGTGCCTGGTATATACAAAAATGAAATGAAGGAAATAATGGAATACAGGATTGGACAAAGAACAAGCCTCAAATATGATCCCAAGCAAAATGGACACTTTGCAGATGGCTGAGGTCTGCAGCAGAGGATCCAGCTGAGCTGCGCCCATGCTACAGAGCCATACAACCTGTGAGATAACAAACATGTGCTGTGCTAAATCCCTCCACCAAAAAAAGTTTTGCGTGAGGATGGAGGGAGAAGGGAAGGGATTGAGAGCTGGGATCCCATGTCAGGTAAGCTTGCCTTCTATATTAGTCCCCTATGTCCTTGCTTGATGTATAAAGTGATGGACTTGAGGGAAAAATTGTGTATACACCTATCTGAGTATCCAGTGTGTACTTACGAATATCCAGGCAGTTCATGCTATCAATTTATGTAGTAAGTAATTTCCTAAAGTCTCTACACCTCAGTTCTGCCTGGTCTATGTTTTGTAACACAGACAAATATCCAGTTGTTTGTGAGCAAATCTGTAACTACTCATTGCTGATGGCAGTGGTGGGCTCAGATCTCATGATCAGCAATCCTTAATCCCTTTCCTTTCCTCACCCTGTTCTCTCATTGAGGACTCAGCTGAGACACCACTCTGTCCCATAGCTTTTATTCTATCACCCATTCCTCCTGGCCTAGTATCTGTTCTTTCACCATGCCTTATCATCCTGGATAAAAGGATTCACCATGTTCAATCCAATGAATAGTTATCAAATACCTATTGTCAGTCAGATAAAAAATAGAGAGAGATGGTTTTCTTGAGTAGGAGGAAGGACTTTAAGTCCCTACAGAATATGATGAAAAAACATTTGACTCATCCACATGGCCGACACTGACAAAGGTTCTACAATCTGAGGTACAGGATCTCAGGATAAATCCTGAGGGGATTTCACTGACCTTCTCAGACCCAAAAGCTACAACTCTTGTTGCATAGGTCCTGCTTTACCTTGGTTTTAACCATCCAGCAGAAAAGTATAAAAATGAAGTGTAAGAAGTAAAGCCATGGTGTTAGGTTGAGCTGTAGGGGACTCAGGTCAACAATTTCTGACATTGCCAGTTAAGCGGAAGACCTAATACTATTATGAGCTACTGGACTCTTTTAGAATATTTTGCTGAGTTTATACACCTATAATATTCAAATAATGGAACTTAACAAAAAAAGGGGATAGAGATGAATGTCCATTTTGTATCTGTGTATTCACAGTGGTTAGGATAGATATATTGTTACATTCTTTTAATGAATAGAGGGATTTGTTCTAATGATGTTTGTAAATAGGATATCATGTCCACATCTTGTACAGCAATTAACCACTAGGAACAATGTATGCATTGTGTTAATTATTGAAACTGTCCTACCAATTTGGTTTGAAACTTTCTCATTGCTATTTGTTTCTCAATAAAATTATGGTAAAAAAGGAGGAAGGAGCAGGAAAGAGCACTGTAACTCTATCAAAGAAACTGCAGAAAGCACAGAAGCCAGGCATAGAGAGCTCAGCAGAATGCACACACTCACTCAGGAAACCATCCCAGCTTCCCTCTGCAAAGAGCCAATCATGATGGCATGGAGAATTCAGGCAACAAAGGGATTTGGTGAGCACTTCTAGCACCATTCTTGCTTAGAAAGGATAAGCTAGAGAATGAAGCCCCTGTATTAAGCCTATGCTCATGCAATTCCCGATACAGAAAGTCAGCCAAGAGAGAGCCCAGGAAAGAAAAATTTCCATCCACAATCAAAGAAACAGCTGACTCGTGACCAAGATAACTATGGCATGTTACACAAAAAATATGGACTTGCATTCTTATTAGTAATTGCTCTGATATATGTGTTTGCTTTTAAGTACACATTTTTTTCTGATCTATATATGAATCTCTTTAATTAAGATATTTTTAGCAGCATATTCAACAAAAGTAAGTACAACAGGTTACACTGGTCCACCCTGAAGTGCCTCAACTCTGAGAACTTTATTGTCTTAGTCATCACAATCTATCACCTAAAAGAAGTTAAAGCATGAGAAAATTACAATCACCACAAAAGGACAGGATGCAGATATAATTTCAGTAGAATATCTTCTATACTATGGAGCCTACTCTGTGCACCATTTATGACAGAATACCATTCAGCTTGAAGTTGAACACCTTCAGTATACCAAAGCGCATAGTCCGTACACCTATTTTATTCTCAGGTAGCTGATTGCTAAACTGTTTTATTTCCCTGTAGAACCTACCTCTTTCCTACCTGAGAGAAAGGTCTGTCCTGTCCTCTCTCTGACAGCCCTTCCAAAAGAAAATGATTGTGGTCTTCTTCCCTTCTCTAAGCTATGAAACCCCACTATCTCCTCTTATTTCCTATAGACAAGAACTTGGTCTTTGTGAGCAAGCATGAGTACATGCCCATTGTTCTGATGCCTATTTCCCTCTTTTTTCTGGAATAGCAGGCTCTCTTCTGTTGGAACAGGTACTGCCTCACACCCAGCTCCACCATATATGTCCCATGGTGCTCTCATGTCTTTTTAGATCCTTGCCTCTTGGACCAGAGCTACCTTGCCCAAGGGTGGACTCATTCTCCAAGCTAGGAAAGTCCCAGTCCTTTTGTTCTTGAAACTTGAAAGTGAAAGTAAGTCGCTGTGGCAGTAACAGCTGGAGCCACTGGGTGACACTTGGCAGTCACATTTCCCTCATGTGGAGGAAGCCAGAGTATAGACTTCAGCTGTACAAAATACCCCTGGTGTTCTAATAATGTTTCTATCTTGCTTATATTAGCTCGAGTTGTATTTCTTTATTTTGTAACCAGGGAGCAAGTTCTGACAAATACGAACATATTTTGATATATTTCTTTAATCACGTGAGACCACTGTAATACTTAATACTTATAAGGGGTAGAGAGAAACAAGGGATTAGGAAAAGCTACTGGCATCTGAGGATTTGGAGAAGTGCAGACCTAGACCCTTTCTGGGTTTGCCTATGCATTCCTAGTTTTCATATCCAAGTGAACTTTTCCAGTCTAACACTTCCTCTTTCCAGATGAAGCACCAACACTCGCAGCGGCTGAGAGGATTCATTTACTCACTGGGTCATTGTACATCTTGACGATGAGCTGTTTCACCCCATGCAGAGTAGGGTGGGCCCACGGAGAGGGATCCAGCCAGTGACGATTCAGGTCGAACCCCATCAGAGAACACCTAGATAATACCCAAAGTAAGAGGGGTTAAAAATAGGAGGACGGGACAATATTTTCACGTGCCAAAATACATGTAAGTGTGTATCAGCAATTATATCATTCATCTACTATTTTCAAAGATATTTTGAAACACTTTACATGTGTTAATTAACTTAGTTCTAGCAACTGTCTTGAGAAGACATTACTGTAAGGCCCATACTACAGAAGAAGAAACTGAGAGAGTTTCAAAAATATTTCTGGGAAACAGTCTTACTTCAGCACTCATGTTCATATGAGCATCACCTACACAGTGCAGTAGAAAGAAATGTTCTGTGCTTTAGTTATGTTTCTCATTGCTGAGACAAACTAACTGACATTCAACGCTAAAGGGAGAAAGGCTTATTAGCTCACAGTTTGTAGAGGTTTCAGTCATTCATCAGCTTGCTCCAAGACTGGGTGGTAAATGGAACAGGGGCAATAATTCATTGTGGCAGAATCCAGCAAAAGCAACAAGGGAGACAGCAGGGCCATGTCTCTTTCTGCCCCTTATATTGTGTGTAGACTACCTGCCCAAGGGCAGGTGTAGCACTTACCCTTTTAATCCCATAACTAGACCATGAATCAATCATAAACTCTAGAGTCAGTCTCCTCTAAAAGCCTGTCCCCCATGACCACTTGAGGCTTTAGGGGACAGCCACACACAAACACTAACACTGCAAAAACCATCGGTGTCCTCATGGCTTCTGTTTGCCTCATACCTACAGCCAATCCATTGTCTCTATGTTCAAAATATCCTGGCATCTTTTTAATCATTTCCAATGAAATCACCATGAATTTTGACAAAGGTCTAGAGTTCTGTGGAAATTTTTTACTTGGCATTCTTGTTTTCATCTTTGCATATTTTCACCCCTTCCCTATCCTTCCCTATCATTCCATCTTCTACACAATAATCAGACTGAATGTCTTAGAAACATAAACCAGACTATCCCTCTTTTACTCAAATGGTTCCCTGCTGTATGCAGCATAAAAGCCCAAATTCTTACAATGGGCTATCATCCCTGTGACCTGCCATTTAACTTCTCTGACCTCAGCTTCTACCATTCTTCCCTTTATTTCTTCTGTATCAGACTTTCTCTCCACTGTATCCTCTACACACCAGGTACTCTCTGCTTTGGGGACTTTGCTGAATGTCCCCAACTGAATGTCAATGTTGGCTTTTCAATCATTTTAAGCAAAAACAGAGATAGCCATGCATGTAGGATGTAACCTTAGCATCACAATCAAGAGGACACTATCAACAAGGCACTTACTAACATCACTTTGTCCCAAAAACTAAGTGTTTCACCACAGACATGATCATCTTTAGCCTGGTCAGTGTCATTTAGGAAGCATGTGATGAAATAGGCTTCAAGCCTAGAAATGTCCACCTTTAATGCGCATGCTATCCTAAGAGTTTGCCTTAAATCTCAGAAAAGAATTTTTTAAAAATATTTACTTGGTACAGGGTCTCACTACTCAGCTCGGACTTGTAGTAATCTTCCTGTTTTCAGCCTCCCCAGTGTTGGGATTACAGGTGTGTACCACTCCTCCTAGACTTGGTGGCTAGCTCAGTGTACCTGGGGCTGGGGCTGGGGCTGCATGCGGCTCCAGGGATCCAATCCCGGTCCCTGAGCTTGCCTAAGCAAGTGCTTAGTCGGCTGAACTATCTCATTGGCCCTTCAGAAAAGACTATTGATTTGAGCATTTGAGAAATGATGGAACTGTAGAGACACTGGGGAAGGATGATTCCATTTTTTGTTTTATTCAGAATAGTTATATTATGTTAGGCAGAATTATGAACTTGCTACTGTCTTCATTTGAAGATTAAGTACCGTTTAAGCATATGTGTTTGCATATCAAATTGACAAAAATAGAATGTGACAGTTAAATGCAGTTGTCAACTAGAATGGGAGTTGCCAAGGGGTTGGTAGAGCACACTTCTGGATAACTCTTGGTGGCTTTAGGGGTCATGCCTTTAGAGAGCACATAGCTTGCTGGTAGTGTTTTCCTACTCTGCCTCTTGGTCACTATAAAGTGAGCAGCAATCTTCTATCAAACCTTGTGTCATGATGTATATTATTTGGAATCATGAACTGAACCCTCTGAAATCATAAGCAAAATTAAACCCTTCCTTCCCTAATTTGTGTATATTGGGTATCTGGTCTGAGCAATGAGAAACTTACAGAAGAAGGATAACCCAGGAGCTAAATGCAGCAGTTCATTACAGTTTTTCTGAGAACTATTATATGCCAACTGCATGATAATTTTGTTGGGATAGAGTAGTTGGTAACAGATTTTCCTTCTTTAGGAGATATATGGTCTTATAGGAAAAAGATATATTTACAGATTTATATGCATTTATAATTCAGGTAATATTGTAAAGCCTAAATAAGTTAATGAACTTAATTTAGGAACATGTTCTGGTGCATAATAATTTTTCAAAAATTTTGTGTTGTGATTATATTTTATGTTATATCCTTCATGCATGATATAGATTACTAGTTTACAGTCTGCAGGAGGCTGGCATGTACAGTAGTGGTTCAGAATGATCTCCAGAATTTTAGTATAGGTGTTGCTGAAGCAAGTGGGACTGGAGAGATGGCTCAGTAGAATAAGCGCTTCCCTGGAAAGCGCAAGGGCCTGAGTTCAATCCCCGTTTCCGAAAAAAAAAAAAAAAAATGTAAACTAAAGCAAGCACAAGAATGATCCCATTTTTCATTGCAGTCTGAAATTAGGCAGATCTGAGTTCAAAGCAGTACTCTGTTCTCTCCAAGTCTGTAGTCAGTGTTTGTCTATGTTCTTTGGAGAATCATCAGCATCTCTCTCTATTATTACATGGAGTGATAGAATGGAGTAGGTTTGACTTCTATGCACAGTTGACAAAAACATGGTCAACCCTTGTCTCCTATCATGGAATCCAGATGAGCCAGTTCTTCCCTCTTTGTGACCTGAAAGCAAGGAAGCAGCAAGGAACCCCGGCTCAGGTGACAGCCACACCTGGTGATGCTGGAAGCAGGGAGTGTTGTTCAGAAATATTACTGGGAAACAGAGGCAGATTATTTTTTATTTTTATTTTTATTTTTGGTGGCACCA